TTATAAATATAATATAATATAATGTAATATAATAATTAATAATATTAATTAGTAATTAGTACAACAAACTTATTATATAGTATAGCATGCTAATATAATATAATATAATATAATATAATGTAATATAATAATTAATAATATTAATTAGTAATTAGTACAACATATTATATTTTAATTTATAGTAAAATAATATTTATATTATAATAATATACTAAATGATATACTAAACCAATTGGATAAGTTAATTTAGAAGTAAATAATAGATAAAATTTATATTTTAATATGGTGCATCATCATCAAATTATCCCACATGAATTGTCAAATCAAAGACTCAAAATGTCTCATTATCCCACTTATCCCACTTTACCGACTCAAAATATCTCAATGAGATAAAATTATTCTATTGGAACAATTTTTCCACTTGGCTCCAATTTATCCCAACCAATAACCCCCCCTTAGGAACAAATCCAATACCAAAATGATTGTTTGAAGATTTTTGAAGTGAGAGCAAATTATTCAAATTCTTTTTAACTTTGTTAAATTTGTTCACATTTAAAGATAAGTCTTCATATTTACATCTAAATGAACACATTTCTTTATCTAAATATGAAATACAAGTTTTCAATTTATCACATTCAAATTTTAGATAAATATTATCATTAGTCAATAATTTATTTTTAGAAAATAAATTATTATTTAGTTCATTCAATTTTTCAACTTGTGAAGAATTTGAAGTTACTAATTCTAAGTTTAATCTTTAATTTTCATTTTTCAGTGACTTATAATTAGACTTCAAATCATTAAATCTAGCATAAAGTTCATTGAATGCTTCTAATAATTCTTCATTATTAATATTATTGCATACCTCATCTTCTTGTGCCATGAAACACATGTGAGGGGATTTCTCTTTTTGTTCTTCCAAAGCTTTTTTCTTCTTATTTTGTAACTTGTTGAAGTTTGTAGACTTTGAATTTGACTTTAGAAGAGGGCAATCATTCTTCATGTGTCCTGGTTTATATATCCATAACAAATAAAATTATTGTTAGTATCTTTAACCTTGTTATACTTACTTTGGATAAAGAACTTTTTGAATTTTCTTGAGAGAGCATCAATGTCTTCATCATCTTCATCCGATTCATCGCTATCAGAAGATGCATTTAAAGCAATGATTTTCTTCTCTGGCTATTCTCTCTCCCTTCTATCTCGAAGTTGTACTTCATATGCCATTAAATTCCCAACAATATCTTCTAGAGTAAGTATTGAGAGCTCATTGGTTTCTTCAATTGCGATCGTCTTTTTCTCTCATTCCGATGTAAGTGCACGAAGAACTTTTCTCACCATCTCCAATTGTGTGTATTCTTTTCCAATACCAATTAGAGAGTTTGTGATGTCGGTGAATCTTGTGATCATTTCAGTGATCATCTCATGTTCATTTTGAATAACTCAAACTTGTACACAAGAACAGAGATTTTAGATTCTTTAACTTTATTTGTACCTTTGTGTGTTACCTCTAATGTATGCCAAGTTTGATGGGCTGAATTGCAAATAAACACGCGATTGAACTCGTTCTTGTCCAAGGCACAAAACAATGCATTCATCGCATTAGAGTCCATATTTACATTTGTCCTTTGAACAACCGTTCATTCGGTGTAAGGAGTGGTAGACTTTGTAAATTCCTTCTCTACAATGTTGCATAGATCGTAGCCAAAAGATTAGAGGTAGATCTTCATCCGACACTTCCAATAGTTATAGTTTGTGTCGTCAAAGAGGTGGTCGTTGTGTGGAATGTCCTTCTTTGAATTGTGATGTATTTGTTGTACTTGATGATGTCATCCTTCACCTTGCTCTGATACTAATTGTAGATACTAATTGTAAGGTCCTCTTACTTATATACCAAGTGTAGGATCGTGATCCTTAAGAAAAGATTGCGCTCCTATAAAGAGTAAATTTGCGGAAGCTTTACACTTAAAACACTAGAGAATGAGTTTGCAAGATGTGTTATAAATTGTAAGAAAGAATGACAATAATCTCAGAAAATGAACATCACAAACACAAGTATGTATATTGGTTCCACCTTCCCGGTATATATCTAGTCCCTAAGCAAATCCCGCTTGAAATTTTCACTATGATTTTAAAACATTACAAAATAAAAAACAAACCTGACCAATTTGCAAGACCATGCTAATTACAAACCCAATTGACAACATCATGCCAATTGTAAACCGACCTCTAGACTAAAAGATCAACCCCTCTCACAAACCGAGAGAACCTTCATTTGAAGCAAATACAAATCCAATCCTATAAGCCTTAAATGTGTTGTGAACGTATTTCTCACTGTGGCTATAGGTTTCACTCTCTGAAATTCGCCTAAACACTTAGTAGTGAATGATCAAGGACATAGGCTTTTTCAGAAAATAGTTTTTCTCAATACTTAGGCTAAAAAACAGAATGTTTAGCCTCTTGAATGTGCACAAAGTTTAATCTTTTGAGTGCAAAAATTGTTATCTTATTTACTGACGTTTACCCTATTTATAGCCTCTGAAAAGTTGTATTTTTAAACCAAAATAACACCTCAAACGGCTATAAACAGTCATATATTCAAAACCTGTAACAGTCAGAAAATTGCCTTTGTAATCGACTACAACTCTTAGTAGTCGACTACTCTGAGTTCAAACAGACTCTGTGTAGTCATATAATTTCTTAGTAGTCGACTACTTTGTATATTAGTCGACTACTCTGTAATTGACAGAAAGTCTGGAATTCTGATTCAACTCTTATTGGTCGATTACAATGTCTAGTAGTCAACTAGTCTATAATAACACAAAAACTGATATTCTGTCTGTGTCTTTTGTAGTCGACTATTTATGCTATTAGTCGACTATTAAGGGGTAGATATGAGCTATATTATATGTTTTAAGTCTCACTCAATATCTATTAAATCTAATGGTTAACATAGGGGATTTCTATAGCTAACCAACACCCTAAGCATGTGTTAGTGTGTTCTAACACTATGTGTGTGCATGTGTGTGAGTGATCAAGGCTTGTACACATTTCTAAGCAAAGAAAATATAAAATTACATTTTGACAATAAAGTATATCTTTTTATTTGCTTCAATTTGCCTTGAACTCATCCTATGTCTTGAGTATCTCTTTGAATATCATTGTTGATTTAACTTTGATACTGCAAAACAAATGTTAGCATATAATACACACAACATATAATATTTGTTATCATCAAAACAAACTAATCTTGGGGTCAAGATTCCTAACAAACTCCTCTCATGATTTTGTCTCCTCGGCCTTGAACTCTCCTCGTTCAGATTTGTCGCAAAATTCATCACCCCTCTGTCATCATTCAGTCTCGACAACTAGTGTTATCTTGGGCACTGAAGTACCTTGGTGCCTTACTGACTCCATCCTCCACCTTGATGCATCTTGTTATGCTTCTTGCCCTGATATACCTCGGTCGCCTTGCTGTTCTCCTATTGTTTCTATGATACCCTCTTACTCCTCTTTTGCCTACACTTTTGCTTTGTTTCCCCATTGTCTTTCTCCCCAAATACTTGTCGATTTCCTCATCTTTTTCTTCTCTTTTCCCATTTTTTGCTGAACTTCGAGAAGAACTGAAGAAACAAAGACAAGACATGGCTTTCCTAAAGATGTGGGTGGTGGCCCTCCTTGGAAATTTCAAAGGTTTAGAGTTTAGAATAGGTTCAAGGGGTGCAGAACCTGCTTCGATTCCATAATAAAAAAGATGAATTATTGCATTTTTCTTATTTCTATGGCGAATATGAAGCGCTATTTATGAAAGAAGTACAAGGTTATTCATAACATTACTCTACAGTCAAGGTTTAATTATATGACCAAGCATTTCTTATGTAATAGTGTGATGAATCTAGACAGTCCATTACTCAGCATTCCTTATACAACTTTACTAGACTTGTAAATAAAAATCTCAAATTTTGTAAACCTATAACAGTTTTCCCCCTGATTGATGATTATAGCTTTATTTGTTCCTGACACTCTTGTGTCCTACCTGAGTAATGATATTTTTTTGTCAAAAAGCTATGTAAATTAGTCATTGGCCTTTTCGGTCTTATCATCAGAACAGACTGTTACGATCAAGAGGTACGTCAAGACCCAGTCAAAATTGGGATTTAGTCATCCAGTTAATCTAAATCAGCTAATAATGTGGTGATTGTTGAACAAGGCTATGGTGTACATAACTGAAACTAGATGAATCTTCTCTATATCGAAGTCAACTTTTGCACCACTGAGGCACTGAACTTAAGATTCATCTCCTTACTGCAGCTCAATTTTCTTCCTAATACTTGCAACTACTTTTCTCCATTTGGCTTTGGAAACTGATATAATTTTATTAAAAAGCTAAATACTAGGTAATTGGCCTCATTTACCCTAACCCCATCACTTTAAACTTCTTGAGTCGAAAGGCAGGCAGGATAAGGAATCTAATTTGGATTTTACGCGTATTAGGGCCCCTTCTTATGTTTTTCCTGAGAAAAAAGGGAAAAGGTAGTGATTATTGTTGCGAAAAATTTTTATCCGAAGAGCTACCCAAAGCAACTCGCACCTGCAAAAGTGACTGTTCCTTGCAATGACTAATAGAAATATGAAATCTGTCTCTGGATTGGCAATGAATTGGGATCTCCACTATTCTCAACTGATTTATAATGTTTGTAGTTTGTACTATAAAATCGTTAATATCTTTCAAAGCATTTATATACATGCCCCAAACGGTATTCCTTCACAAATCACGACTAAATCAACAATAACAGGTTGTGTGCACCATTTGCCACTTTTCACATTGAAGCGAACTCTTGGGGCAATGCACAGCCTCCAAGTCTTAGTCTTTCTCATTCATACATACTCATTCAATCTTCTATTTACAAGGCACTTTTATTTTATTTTTGTATTCACTGTGTTGTGCCTAAATATCTCGCTTGGTTGCTATAACTTTTAATTTGTTTTTACTTTTTCAGGATGAGAGTATCCTGATTTGGTATTCTGAAAGAAAGGAAAAACAGCTTAAACTTGGCCATGTTTCAAGAATTATACCTGGACAGCGTACTGTAAGCTTGCGTACCCTCAATCTTCAATGCATAACAGTTATTATTATTATAATAAAAATCTTTAGGTTGAATAATAATTTTAACATTAATTATTATCGCAACTTCCACTCATATCATTGTCCCATTTTACGATGTTTGAGGCTTTTGACATGTGGCTGCAAGGCGTTGTGTAATTACTGGGAAATTGGGAATCCAATGGTGGATTAAGCATAGAGTCTGACGTGCAATCTTTCAAAGGAAACAAATTTGTAAAAAGAGAAGTACTATAATCAATTCACTATTCATTTTGAGGATTTCTCAGAATCATGTATCCCTCAAATTCTTTATCACTTCATACTACTAGCTTAACCGTCTTATTGGACCTCCAAATTAGCTTTTCATCAGCTCAAGACTGACTGCAAAGCCTCAAAAAGTAAAGCAGATCTATATATAAACTTTCTAAACTCAATCAGTGCACTAAATTATAATTGTTAGAATTAGTTCTTGGGTTTTCGGGTTAGGGCCCATTAACCCATTAGCCTATTACCCATATGTAACCCTATATATACCCATGGAGATGAGTGGAATGGTAGACTCTCTGATTTTCCTACTTCTAACATGGTATCAAAGCAGGTCTCCGAAACCCTAACCCTACCTCCTCCAAAACCCTAGTCACAAAAAAAAAAAAAAAAAAAAATAAACTGCTGTTGTTCTACGTTATCCTTACCTTTGGCGATCTTCCTCCTCTCAAGCCGTCGCTGCCAGATCTCCTTCGTCTTCGCCGCTGCTTCACCTCATAGAACCGTTGTTGTCGCTCGTCCTTGTCTCTGAAGCTCTCCGTCGCTGACCCTGGTGGGGTGAGAGAGGCCGTCGCTCCTCCTTCAAAGCCGTCGCTGACCCTGGTGCGGTGACCGAGATCCCCTTCGAAGCCGTCGCTCCTCCAAACTCGAATTCGAAGCCGAGATCCCCTTCGAAGCCATCGCTCCTCCTTGTCCTCGAAACTCGTCGTCGCTGACTCTGGTGTGGTGAGCGTGGAAGCCTCACGAAGATCACTTTCGAAAAATCTGTCGAAGCCTTACGAAGATCTGTCGAAGCCTCACAAAGCTGATTAGGGCTCGGTTGACCTGCTTCGATTGTGTTGGCCCCTTTCTCTTTTTTTTGTTTTGTTGATTGGGTTGACCTTTTTTTTTTCTGTTGTTAGGCCTTTTTCGTTGTTGGGCTCCTCTCCTGGTGTTGAGTCTTGTATGCCTTTGTAAATGAACCGGAGTTAAAAAAAAAACGTTGTTTTAAATGAACAATAACCTTCGGGTTTTCTAACCTTCAGGTTCCTAACCTTCGGGTTCCTGACCTTCGGGTTCTATTTTTTAACCTTTGGGTTCCTGACCTTCGGGTTCCATTTTCTAAACCTTCGGGTTTATGTTTTAAACCTTCAGGTTTTCTACACGAAGATTGCGATTCTTCTTCTACTGTACTATCCTGTCTGACAAGATGATAGGATCTGACATCTCGTCTGCTACTACTACCCCTACTACTGCTGAGATTTCTGCCCCCAAAGTCGTATTGGGGACCACTGTCAAGTTAAATGGCACCAACTACCTACTCTGGGCACAAGCCTTTCGCATCTTCATTGGTGCTCAGAACAAATTAGCTCATCTTCTGGCCCCTCCTCCTGCTTCTACTGATCCTACGTATACCGCATGGATCTCTGCTGACTACTGTGTGATGACTTCGCTCCTTAATAGCATGGAAGCTCAAATCAGTAGCAGTGTCATGTTCTCGAACACTGCTAAGGAAATGTGGGATAATTTAAAAATTATGTACGGGAATGAGAAAAATACATCACGTGTGTTCGAGTTGTATGAACGTCTTTTTTCTCTTCAACAGGGCGATCGCTCTGTACCCGAATATTTTGGTGAGCTAAAGAGTCTGATCGATGAATTAGAAATGCATCAGCCCGCCGTTACGGATGCCGCGACACTGTTGGGATATCGTAGGGACCTTGCTGTCTCTAAGTTCTTGTCCGGTCTGAGTCCCACCTTGCAATCTCAGATACGGGGCCAAATACTAGGGGGAGATACTATCCCCTCCTTGACTGCTACTTTCTCTAGAGTTATGCAAGTAACTACTGGAGTACCTACTGCTTCTTCTACACCATCCGCTCCATCGCTTGATCAGTCTGCTATGTTCTTCGGACGCGGTAGACGTCGTGGTCGTGGCCGTGACACAGGGGGAGGACGTGGCAAGAATCTTCGTCAGTGCATACATTGTGGACGGACTAATCACATCTCTGAGAAGTGTTGGGAGAAGTTTGGTCGACCTGCATGGGTGATACGGGTGTATCTTCTCTTCGGGAGCTTAGCGATCCTCATGGGAGCTTGAGGATAGATGATTCTCATGGTATCTTGAGAATAGAGTAGAGGAGTCGTGGAAGAGGCCATTGGAAGCAACGAAGTCGAAGGATTCGTCAAAACTGCAGGAATTACAGTTGGGCTCTGGCCGGTCGACCGGCTTGGTCGCGGCGGTCGACCGCTTAGTGCACAGACCCAGACTATGTCTCGGGACTGAGAGCGGTCGACCGAAGGTGGCGCTGCGGTCGACCGGAAAACCCTGTAATCGATTTCCCAGATTTCGACGTTCTGACCGGTCGACCGCCTTGGGCACTGCGGTCGACCGCGTAGCGGTTTCGGGCCTGGGTCTGTTTCCTGCTCCAGTTGGGATTTCTGTTTAGTATAAATAGAAACACGACTTTTCTAGGGTTTAGAACTCAGTTTGTAATCAGAAAAGAGATCAGGGAGGTTGTTCTTTGATCTAGAGAGATTGTGAGAGAGAGATTTGTAAAAAAAATCCAATTGATTCTCATAATCTAGAGAAGGTATTTTCCTTCGCCCTAATTCAACTCTTGTGTTCTTCTGTCGTTTTTTTCTTTACCCACTCTTGATAATTCCGCGATCAAGAGTGCTCGCACGGCAACTCGTATCAAGTTGGTATCAGAACCCCTAGATCCTGTGTAGGGGGAACCTGTGTATGGTCATTACTCGCTCACAGTACAAAAAGCTTGACGAGATCCTTATTTCTTTGGAAGGAGTCCAGAAATTAAGAAGGGAGAAGATGACTGAAGCAGATAATTCAGCGAGACTTGATGCCATGGAGAAGCAGATTGAGACGATCGGGACGACTCTTACTCAACTCGTGGGTCTAATCAACGGAGGTGACAAAAAGGAGGAATCTTCTTCGAAGGGTAAGAAGAAACTCGTCGAATCCGACGAAGAGCACGAGGAATCTGATTCAGAGGGGGAGACTGAGATTGTCAAGACCGTTGGACATTAATGGGGTAAGAACAACTACCAAAATCTGAAGATTGACTTCAAGGTTGAGATTCCTGTTTATGATGGGAGTATTAACGTGGAGAAGCTTGATGATTGGATCGAACGTATGGAGATGTACTTCACTCTCTACGGATATTCGTCCAAGGAGAAGATAGTGTTCGCGACACTGAAGCTTTCCGGGCACGCGTTGACGTGGTGGAAATCCTATTGCAAACAGGAGAGGAAAGCGGCGTCGTGGAACAAGTTCAAGGAACTACTTCGTAAACAGTTCTATCCAGTAGGGTTCCTTGAGGAGCGTTGGTACAAGTGGTACGGCTTACGCCAGAAGTTTAATCAGACCGTTCAAGAGTACACGACGGAGTTCCAGCAACAGGCGATGGTCCTAAACATCGTAACGTCCGAGTACCCCGTCTTCATGAAGTACATGGTGGGTCTGAATGATTACGTCCGGAAGGAGATGAAGCTGTTTTCAGTAGAAACCATCGCAGAGGCGAGTGTGAAGGCCATTGCCATTGAGAGCCGGCAGAAGAAGGGCAATGAGACAAAGGGGGATTCCAAACCATCGGGGAGCAAGACGGGTGACTCTCAGTCTAAGGATGAGAAGAAGAAGGTTGACTCGGGGAAAGCAGGATTGACATGCAACCACTGCAAGCAGACAGGACATGTGGCTGATCGTTGCTGGGATAAGTATCCTCATCTGAAGCCTAAAGGATTGAAGAAGAAGGAGGAGAAGAAGGCGTACGTGATAGCACAGGGTCCGAAGGAGGTTCCCGGGATGACCGAACCCAATAGCAGTCTCAACCTTATGGCGGGGAAGCAGGCTACCAAGGAAGATGACGACCCGAGGGAGCAGCTCTTTGTTCTGAAATTGCAGGTCAAGACCAGCTTAGTGGATGCTATTGTAGATCCAGGGAGTCAGAAAAATCTGATATCTGAGGCATTAGTACAGAAGCTAGGATTGAAGACGGTGAAGCATCCGAAGCCCTATCCATTAGGGTGGATTCAGAAGGAGGCGGGATTGAGTGTGGTGAACCAGTGTTCATTCAGATTTGCACTCCACGAGTCGTATATTGACGAGGTCACATACGACGTGGTTCCGTTGGATGTTTGCCAAGTTATTTTAGGCAACCCTTATTTGTAGGATAGATACGCAGTATATGATCGGCGAGCCCAAAAGTATACGTTCACCAAGAATGGCGAGCAATTCATTTTTCGTTCGGCATCTCTTCCACAGGAGACGAGCTTGGTGACAGTAACTCAGGCTAAGAGGTTGGTGAACGCGGGCAGGAAGTTCGTTTTATTGTTCATTCGGCCGTATGAAGAGCAGCTGAGTAGGACGTGCTTGTCCACCTTGAGCAAGCTCCAGGAGGGAGATATTGACAGGTTGAAGGTCAAGTATGCGGACTTGTTTTCGGAGATCACGGGACTACCACCACGTCGAGGTGTAGAGAATGAGATTATGTTGACCGGGGAGAGTTCCTTACCTAACATAGGCCTATACCGCACATCAGTACTAGAGTCCGAGGAGATCAAGAAGCAAGTTCAGGAGCTCTTGGAGACAGGAGTGATTGTGCCAAGTTGTTCGCCTTGCGGGTCACCAGTGTTGTTGGTGCCCAAAAAGGATGGAGGCTGGCGCATGTGCGTAGATTATCGGGCACTCAACAAGATTACCATCAAGAATCGCTACCCATTACC